TGCCCTGCTTAAGTCTCCTGTGAAATCGCTGGTCTCAAGTTTCGAGACTCCAATTTTATACCCTAGAAATACCAAACTGCTGGTATTTCCCAGAATATTTCCTGTTATTTCTCACCTGTTCATTATGGATATATATTTATTGAGAAAGCTTGCCCCTCTCCTTTAAGTCCACTTCGCTTAATAATTCTTTCTACACATAACCTTTAGGAAGTCTTCCTAAAGTATAAGTACCTGTTCCCCCCGGCCCCAACACCCCTTCCCTGAATCAGAGCACCGGGCTCACTTGAGGAGAGTGCCCTGTTGAGACCAACCAGGCCACCAGAACATGAGCTCCTGGAGATGGTTCTCAGCTTGAACAGCCTTTAACAAAAAGAGGAGAGAGAAGAGAAAAAGCATAACCTGTTGGCTATGAATTCCCTGCATCACATACATGCTCCACTCTTTCCTTTTATATTTCTGAGGGTTTTTTTTTTCCTTTTGGTAAAGAAAACATAACTATAAAGAAATCAGGCTTTTAAGAAAAGAAGTGCATTCTAAAAAGTATGCGTGAAAGCTGAAGTGTGCTTGGCATATATGAATCTAAGTACTACAACTCAAAACAGAGTGATATTTTACATCAAGCCCATCTGGCATTATATTAGGGTGTGTTTATGGAAATTCAACCAAGGGTGACTGCCAAACCAAACTATAGAAGACAACTCAGAAAGCTGGTACGTCCCATTGCCCAAGCTGGATTCAAAAGAAGTGTATCAACGCTCCTGCTTAACAAGATTGTTTGATATCATTCACCTTCATAACAACATTTTAGTGACAAAAGTTAGCATGGCCTGTATTGGGCATGGGGTGGGCCTGTTGAGATAAGGACACTAGAGAGAGACGGCAGCAGTTAAATGATCTCACTAGGCTACAAGGCAACATCATAGCTTTATGCATGTCCGAGCCCTGACAACTTCATCCTTTTGGTAAGAGACCTAAAAGGCGATTGATTTCTCTAGGCCTCAACTTCTACATGTGAAAAAATAGAAATCACAATATGTTTCTGCCTCACTGGGTTCTAAAAATGGAAACCAGCTTTAAAAAAAAAAAAAGAAAGAAAATGAATGTGCACTCTGAAAAGAATAAACTAGATTCCCTGACCTGATTATTGGCCAGTGCCTCGTAAAACTAGAATTACTACTTCTCCCAATTCCATACGTGCCATCAACCTGGCTGATAAATAGTATTGACTGAGCAGCTGACCCATGTAAGAGTTTTAAAGTAGTAGAAACATATTCTGTGACAATGTGTGTTTCCATACAATTTAACTGCCTGCAAGATGGGCTTAACCTGGCCCTAAGAGAGCAGTCTTAGAAGGCAATAAAAATTACTTATAATTTTAGGAAGCAGAAATTAACATTTTTTCAAAATAGACAGTGACAGGTGTAGGTAGCTTGAAGTGGGTACTCCAACAACTATACAAGAATCGCAAGTGAGCCAAACCCAGAAACTGAAGGAATCAAAAAGTCAGCCTCCACTGATGGGCCAAATTGCAATATGGATTATTTCTATATTGTTCTGTCTGACTTGTCTGTCTCCGATTCTAACTTCCAGAATCTATTTTTAAAATCACTTACCACTGTGTATTTCCAGTAGCCCATACTGTCATCCCTGACACTGAAGATTGTCAGCCGACTCAATGTATACACTAATGATCTCAGGCAACAATGCCTAGCTTCTTATCAAAGAGTTCCCTACTCCAGAAGATCATGTCTAAAAATTCTCTAAGGAAATGTACTCGAAAACATCAGAAGGAGTCGTTATAAAAAATGAAGATCCCTAATACCTCCTGTATTTAAGGTTATCTTAACACCTGGCATTTTAAACCTGGAAACTGCCAGGCACGGTACCGTTGGCAGTCCTCTCCCAATCTGCAGGTGCTCTCCTCCAGCACTGTCACCGAAGGGTAGCTGCTGCTGTCATCGCCATTATTATTTTTACAAATGCTGGCAGCAAGTTGTATAGATACCCTTCATCTCCGACTTGTCACCAAATAACCGAAACAAATGACTTGGGCCTTACAGAAAACACTGACCACTCTCCTACAGGCCTAATAAGTAGAGTATCACAGCTAATGAACACTATAAAGCCAGAATGCTAGCTGTTACAAAAATCAAAGGTTTTGATTCTTTTTTTTTTTTTCTAAATAGTTTTAAAATAATTATCTCCCACCCCTCCATGCCCGAAAGTACATTTTCTGGCCTAATCCTGTCCTCTCCTTTCCTGCTATCAGAGACTTTATTGTCCTGTCATCAAAGTTTTCACCTTGTAAGTTTGACTTTAATACTTTCTATCAAATTGTCATTCTGATTTGGGAAGAAAGAACCCCCCCACACACACACTCCTGCCCCAAGGAATAATCTTTATAGATATAATTTTTTTTAAGTACAGAGTATAAATAGGCATTTTCACTGAATAAAGTCAATGGTGCACATTAAAGAATGGAGGGAAACAAGTGATGTCGGACACAAGTAATCTGACAGGTCACATACTCACAAAATTATTCCAAGTCCCAGAAAAACACCTGAGTGGCCAATCTAGGTCTCTTGTTCTAATTAATAGACAACAGTCCCTCTCTGCCACTATTTGCTTTGGCAATCTAAAATGCTGATATTCTCCTAGATCTAACAGAAAGGAAAAATGGGTATCTTCTCCATCTAACACCTAAGTGGGTAACCTAGATACTGTAAATAGAGGCTACATAAAGGATGCAACAGACAGCTTAGAAGTGAGAGCCAAAATATTTAAACCTGCAACCCATTGGACTAGAACCTGAAAATACGTGCAGCCTAGCCAAAAACCGAATTGCCACAGGCTAATAAGTTAAAACAAAAAAAAACAAAAAGCCTCTTTACCAAACACACAATTTTACTGTCATTGGGTGAGAAACACTTGAATGTCAAAGGCACAGTTTGTATTTGTTTAAATTGATTATGTCCACACTCTGCTGTTTATTCAATCTAGATGGGTAGCTGCTTTTTTGGACGTACTTGCAAAAGCAAAAGCAAATTCATAAGGAGCCAATTAACCAATTCTAAACCATTTCCCAGCTCATATTGTGGTGGTGGCTAGGGATGACGGTGAAAAGTTTAATTCATAGCTACCATCTACCCCACACATCAGTCTTCATAGCACAGCAGTTAAAGTGCTCGACTGCTAGCAAGTTTGCAGTCCGTGTCACCAGCCACTCTTGGTGAGAAAGATGTGACCGTCAGCTTCCATGATGAGTCACAGCCTTGGAAATCCTGCTGGGCAGTTGTATTCGATGCTATAGGGACCTATCAGCTGGAAGGACTCAAGGGCAGTGGGTATCTTTAATGGATATATATCCCATATATCGGCTATCGCAAAAGCCAACAGCTATATATTTAACTTATAGAAATTGCATATAAATCTCTTCACTGTTTTAGATTTTATGAAAATTATCTGAGAAATAAAGACTTATTTCACCACCGCATTAGCAACACTATAAAATTATAAAACATGAAAATTATACAGCCTATAACATAGTAATATAACATGTCAAACCAACAGCCAAATTAATTTTTAAAAACTAATGCTACAAGATACATTTTAAGAGATTAAAATTGTACTTTACGTTAGCATATATCACCAACTTTAATTGGCTTTTTTTCTATGTGTAAAGAAATTTCAACAACTTTTTCAAGAAGAAAATTTTCTTAGGAGTGCTTCCTATTAAAAATAAAGGAACCTTCTGAATAAATACAATTACACTGTCCATTGATAATTTGAAGACTAGTGTAAATCACTTTACGTTAATGAATTATAAAGTGGATTCAAGAGGATGGCTTCATCAATAGTGTTCTGTACACTTTTGCTTGTAATTCAAGTCTTTACTACCTAGAAAGCCTGTTGCTTTATAATAAGTTTCCAGAATTGTAATAAGGAAGTAAACAGGAAAAGTTGTTATCTCAAAATAGAGATCACTTAAGAATATGCACATAATTATAATTCACTAGTCATTTATTAAATCCTTGTTTTTTTAAAATGGGGAAAAAGTCTTCCCCTTGTATGCTATCCAAATAGAAAACTTTTAAATGAAATTGTATTTATATACAAATCATACATGTGAATACGTACTACACATAACATATATACATACGAGAATACCTTAGAGCCTATAACGTAAACTAAAAGTAAAATGCAAAGACAGGATTTCAAATCACTTTGAGTACAAGTAATACAGCCTTCACACTTGATACTAAGCACATAAAACCTGACAAGAAAAGAAAAGCAAGCCATATTCTTAATAAATAGAAAGATACATTCTTCTGTCATTCTATGTATGTAAATTTCTCTTATCCTACACAAAAACAATATATACAACATCAAGAAATGATCCTTTTATCAAATATAGCCCAAACTGTCTAGTCTTGCAAATTCAAAATATCCTTCCAAATTTACTCATGTCTCCTCCGGACAAGCTAAAACAAAACACTTTCACTTTGCTAGAGAAATAGAAATGTAAATGAGTTCGACAATTTTGCTCTTACACTTCTCTTCCAATATTTTGAGGGGGCAGGTAACACCGTAATTCTACTACTGATGGATCAACTTTGTACCAAGGCAGTATGGAATTATTTCAATCTCACATGAGAGCAGTCCTTGGGAAATAGTGTGCTCCATATTTTCTATCCAACAACAATTAAAAAAAAAAAACCACTCACATAAACCTGGCAAGACAAAGCACTGACCAGTCAATACTATCATTTCTTACCTGAAACAGGTAAGTACCAGCTCCCAAACTCCACCTTGGGATAGTTCAGACTAGTAAGCAGACTCATGTTTATGAAACTAAAGAAACAAGAATAAATCTCTGTTGTTCTTTCTTTAGCAAAATTGATAGCAGTAGCTACACTACAATATGAGAGAAGCCCACGGATAAACTCAAATCTGTCACTAGAGAAATGGGGGGTGGGGGGAATCATAAAACATAGACTTACTGCTTGTCATGTGACTTGGTGAAGCATGCTGTCCATTGGGTGTGCTTGAGGTGAGGTCAATTGCCATATTAGAGTGCTCCCTTTCAGGTGAAAGCTCATTGTCACCTGCTTTCACAAAATACAATATTTCAGTTTGCATTTCCTGTCACATAGAGTTTAATTATCTGACTTTGCTCCTCACATGCCCTGTCATTCACAGCCTTGAAATTTTAATATATGCATCCTTTAAAGGAAGCTAGAAAGGGGTATATAGAAATAAAAGAGTGAATGAATGAAATCACTAATAACCATTGCCAACCCCCAAGAAAAACTAAACTAAATACAGTATTGTAATATCTGTATCTGTAAAACTGAAGGAATTGAAGTAGTTGATTTTGAAGGTACCTTTTAATCATCCTTTAACAGCTAATTTAATTACTGGCATATAGTATTTATAATGAGCATTTCTTCAAAATGCTGCTATCAGAGATTTAGATATTTAAAAGGGGAACTGGCTAGCACAATATCAACTTAAAGAAACTAATTCTCTTTCACGTTAGGTGCTCAAAAAACTAGGTTATAGAAGAGCAAATATTTGGTCTATGCCATTATTAGTACACATATATGTAACCTGACATAGTCTAAACCAACAGTAAATGAGAAATAGTATTCTATATATAGTAAGTAGTTAGCATATTACTTCTTATTTTGCTTCTGTGATATTTCCTGAAACTCATTTAAAGGTGCAATTTTGAACAGAGAAAAAACAAGAGTTCAGAACACTTGATAAAAATCTAATTCATTCACTGAAAGGCAGAGAAAAGACAAAGGTAATTTAATAACAATAGCAAATTAATGAAAATGAATACTCACACGTTATATAGCCATCAATTGCCTCTGTTTCCATAGTCAAAGTGCAGTGCTGCAAAATAAAAGATGATTACCCTTAAAACAATGATTCCTTTCAGGATCTGCCATGAAATGCTTAACTTATTAGAAGCTCCAAGCAGTTAGCCCATGTTGCTGCTGCTGCAACCTGTGCCCAAGGAACATACTACAGTGTACTGTATGTGCTCATTTGCAAGTCACGGAACTCTTTCTGCGAATGATCTGATTCCTGCTGGAGATAGGGCAGGAAAGATAAGTGAGCTTTGAGATGGGCTGTAGCAAGAAAGGAATGGCCCTCTTAATCAAAATTTACTTGGTTAAAAAAAATATATATATATGTACATATTGGGGGGGGTCACTCCTCAAATGTGCCATCTTTAAATGGGATTTAAGTATTTTATCATTCACTAGTCCCCACAATCACACTGCAGTCTGAAGACTTCCCCAGTATACAGATAGCTCTATTCACAATTGTTGCAAGTTGGTTCATCATGTTCTAAAGGGGGGGTGGGGGGTATATGTAGGGAGAGAGAAAACAAACACACGAAAACAAAAACCAAAGCAAAAACTTCGTGCCCCAGTGTGTCTCCAAGATTTATGCAGTAGTTACCAACTCCCTGACCTGTATTGACATTTTACCTACCCCAGGTTCTGTTAAAGCACCTGTTCAAGGTAAACCTAATTTCCTGGCAGTTCGTGGATGGATACGAATGCCAAGTCTGATTAATACATTCTGATTTTGAAAATTATGCACACTTTTGTGCAGTGGGGGAGTTGGCGTCACGTTTCTTTATCATTTTTGCTTGTTTGTTTAAGTTTGGGGAACTATTTGCATGTATCAATGACACGAGAACTTAATGCTCAGAAACAAAAGTAAATTGTATGAGATGACACCCCCTAGCTTTGATTTTACAAAGTGAGACCACTAATCTAACTGTATTTGAAAGGAAAAAGTTTAAAATATTGATATATCCTGAGGAGGGCTGTTTTTGTTTTGTTTTTTTCATTTTCTTTTTTTTTTTACCCCCTTTGGCCCTGGTCCTTTTTGCCTTTAGTTTCAAAACTCTCACTGCACCAGCAGCTAAATTATTCACAATGAGCCATTTCTGTATTGATCGCCAAGTATATTTAGCCCTGGCTCCTGGAATTTCTCCATTACTTACTGGAAAACAGGCAGCTTCACTTCTTGTCTCCAAAACCACTTCCCTTCTCCCTCCCTTCCCCTTCTTCACCACCACCCTCCACACACACACCCCCTACACCAAAAAGAGAGAAAAAAAAAGCCTTTTCTTTCTTTATGGAATAATCATATCAAATTCCCAACTCAGTCACTACACAGCACTTAAATTTCAACCTGCTGTACTGTTATCAAATTCTTTCAAGTTATGATTACATAAGGTTTTCAAGAAGGATCCGTAAAAGTTTAAAAGGGGAGCAGTTTCTTCGACTATTTTTTTCTATGAGTTTATCTTTTTTTTAAAAATGTACACATTTAACACACACATATTAAAAAGAAAGACACGTCAGGGAGAAACGAAAGAAGTCTGTCCCATCAATGAAAGGGTTATTAACCCTCACAGAAGGAAAGAAAGAAAAAGGAGAAAGAGAAACGAAATGTACATACAAAAGAAATTGTCCTTTGATTAAAAAAGATTCATCACCATTTCCAGCTCGGTCGGGAGATCCCAGCTTCTTCTAACCCCTCAAAGAGGAGGTGACAATGTCGGGCTGAAGATAAACGGAGAGAGAAAGAAGTTTCTGTGTTTCCCTTCTCTCTTTCCCTCCCTTGCCCCCTCCTAGCCAAGCCCCCAGCAGAGTTCAAGGCGAGGAGGGGGGACGAGCACTTTACAGGTGGGTCATTCGGAGCCCAAATCCAGCAAACAGATCGGCTGATCAACAAAACCAAGAAAAGCGAGAGAAGGAACACCCCGCTTCTCCTCCTCCTCCTCCTCCTCCTCC